GTTGATTAGTACTCAGTAGTGATTATATTAACGTACAAAAAATAAATTCGTTGAATTGTTATGAAATGCAAGTAAAATTCAACTTAGTTTTATCGTAAGCAAATGTTTTTGGTTACATGTTAACGCCCGAAGCGACACGATATCCGCCATGTTATCCTTCGCACGATAGGTCAAGTCGCTAATCAACCAATCAAAATGCTGGATTGTGCCCATGTGCTCAAATTACCATAAAGCATTTAAATATGACAGTTCAGCGACTTCATGGTGAAAGCAACACGGAAGACCAGATTTACCGATGTTTTAGTGCAATTTTTTGGCTTCGTTTTTCATGGGGAAAAAGGCATGATTTTTTTTTAATCGGGGCGATTTAGAAAAATAAATAAACGTACCGTCCTAAATAAGAATGTACCGGGTGGAATTTTTCTGGGGAAAAAATAAACGTACCTGTACGTTTATTTGGGACATTTAGCGTTGTGGACAAGCTCTCCTCAGTAGTGACATATTTTTAACTTCGCCTATGGCGTGATCAGTGGAATACGTAAATAAACCAACACTTTCAATGAGTACATGCCGACCCAACTAAACTTGTTTATGGCTGTTTATGTACAGCGAGGACACATCTCATAGAACAATAGCTGTGGAAATCATAAACAAATGTAAATGTTGCGGAAATCAAGCATGGCGATAATGATTTTGAGTGAGGCAGAGTCGCAAGCGTCTCAGAGCAGCATTGCGCCGACACCACCACGACGTTTAAATCCTGGTGAGAGCACTGCAAACCTCTTAAATCATGATGTAAACTTTCAATTTACACAATACATAATCAGTTCCTACAACAATAATAGAAAGGCAGTTATTCTGGCGAAACTCTCGCCAGGTTAGCAATAGTTTCTCACGATCACCAAATCCGAGACACAAACGATAATACAAAGTGTATAAATACCATAACAAGAACAGTTTCTTACCTTTGAAATTGACGAGACACAATTTTGTCCATATAAGCGTTGCGCAAATAAAGATACAATTCCGGGATACAATATCCTCACACAAAAACGACTGATTTCCACCGAGACGAGAACTGCGTTTGCGTCATCAAAACTCGGATTAAACTCGGGTAATTTCGGGAAAAGTTGGATTTTCCAGCAGTTTTGAAGGAAAAATGTTAAAAATCAAAGAAAAACACAGTGAAACTTTGAAGAATCGAAAAAATAACTTGATGTGCATAATAGCACCATCAATTCCTGTCTCTGTACCAACTCTGAACTGAATTGGATCACACACGTGTGAGAAAAAGCTGGTAACATGAAAATGTGCACACACGGATGCACAGACACGACCCAAATTAATACACAGATCACAGATTCGGCGGGGGCTAATTACTTGAGTTAATGCGCCCACAAAAAATAACCAATCAGTAGCCATTTCTCATTAATTATGCAAGCAAAATGCACAAACATCGAACTTGGCCATCTTTGCATGTTTGTTTATAACATATAAATTTAAAATTGATCATGTAAAAATTATCGCACCCACAAGTCATGGCAACAACAACGATGACGACGCCAAAATCTTCCCCTTACTATACCTTCCCTTTCGTTTACACTACACTCCGGGCAAGGCAATAAAATGACGTCCATCAAGGTTCCATAAAGTCCAACGTACATGTATGTACCAAGTTTGAACAAAGTCCATCCATAAACGCCAAGATCCAGTTCTGGATCACCAGAAATGCTTGATTTTGATGATTTTTTAAGCACAAAAATGACCACCATTTGGCCATCTTGAATCAGATCGAGAAACAAATTGATGTGCATATGTATACGTGAGCACGGACACACAAAGTCGAAACATAAGTACCAATTTTCGGACTGCATCCGAACAGGGACTAAAAAACTTCGAAAGATATATATGCTATCAGCAACACACATTTCAATTAAGTGAAAATATCATCACAAAATGAACAAATCTGAGATCAGTCCACCTGAGGTACCCATATGTATAATATCAAAACAATCAAACTTGTACTTTTTAACATAAACTAAACCACAAGTCCCTGTTTCAAACTATATGTCTGAATAGAACAAATGATGACAGACATTTTCCCTCATATACCTTTCCCATCATCTGATATAGGTAAGGTAATAAAAATCCATTTCAAGATTGTGACAAATGAAACATTCGTGATTAATTACTTACCGTGCCATTCTGCACACTAAATCCTAACTGATATTTAATATCTGGTCTTTTAATTATAACTTGAGTAACAGGCGGACAGGAGACTACATTAAACTTTACTAAACACTGTGTTTTCAAAGACTGCAACAAAGTTACATTATTATACAATTGAATGAAAGTATTGTGATATGTATTATTGTCCATATCGCAATACTAGTGTGTACTTTTTCATTGAAACACATTCAAAAAATTAACATAAAATAAATTTGAATAGATAATTTTCACTGTGTTTCCAAATAAATAAATAACAAAAACAAATATATTGTCAAGAAAGCAACAAATTTTAGTAAGAAACACACAAGGTACAGGTTGGTATAAAAGTATATCAGGCATGTAGTTTTTGAGAAGTAATCAAACATCTATTTTAACCTAAAATATAAAACATGGTCTCCAAAATGCCATATATCTCAAGTCTGATGGTTATATTACCTACCTTGATATGTTGTTGGACTGTTGCTAATGGTAAACCAACACAACTAACACCATTAATAGTCATAATCTGATCACCTATGTTTAATTTGCCACTTCTGGCAGCAGCACCAAATGGTGACATGTTGGCTATAACCACTGTGGGTATTAATGAGCCCCAACCAGACTCCACTATTACAATACCCATTATTTCACCACGCTCTTTCTCTATCAGTATCTGTAAGACATAAATGATAGCCACATTACATACATGTACAGTGGCTAACCTGTGTGATCCCATAAAATACAAGCCATGCATGACACAGTCCTCGTTAGTTATCAAACTTAAGATATAAAGTTTTGTTTATAGTGATATAGTTCAAACATAAACATGTCAGAGATATGGATCCAGAAGCTAATGCTTGATTATGATGATTTTTTAACACTGAAATGATTGACATTCAGTCAGTACTTGTCCTTATTGAGAGATATTCTGTTGAACAGCATTAATTAAAACAAAATAGCCACTAGTCGTCCATTTCGAATACATCTGTATATTGATAACATGATGTAGAAAGAATATATAAAATTGTAGGTCAAATCATGTCAGAGATACGGCTCTAGAACAACATTCATTAAAACACAAGCCATGCCTGGTACAGTCCCCATTAGTTATCGAATTTAAGATATATAGTTTTGTTTATAGTAATATAGGAATAGATTATGATGATTGTTTAACATTCAAATGATTGACATTTGTATCTGATCGTCAAATGAGTACTTGTCCATATTGAGAAATATTGCTCTGGAACAGCATGAATTAAAACAAAATCAGCCATTTTGAATACATGTATATATCTATAACATGATGTATAATGAATATATAAAAGTTAAAAACATAATCAGTCAAGCATGTCAGAGATATGGCTCTAGAAGCTAATTCGTTAAAACAAAATGAGCGCCAGTAAGCCGTTTTGAATCCAATTTGAAAAATAAAATGACATGCATCAAGGTCCAATGTATATACCAAAGTTTGAACAAAATCCATCCATAAATGCCAGAAATGCTTGATATTTGATGCTTTTTAAGTACAAAAAGTGGCCACCATTCGTCTATTTTTTCTATTTTTAATAGAATCACCAAACCAATATATCTGTATATGAATATTTAAAATTTGAACATAATCAGACAAGCATGCCAGTCGGCCATTTTGAATCTTATCTGAATAACAAAATGATGTGCATCAAGGTTCTATAATGTCCAATGTATATACCAAAATCCATCTGTAAACAGCCGATAAATGGTTAATTTTGATGATTTTTCATAACAAAAATGGCTGCCATTCAGCCATCTTGAATCAGATCGTGAAACAAATTGATGTGCATATGTATAATGTCATGTATGATGTATGTGTGGAGTTTGATTGCAATTGGTCCGGGCACACACGCATGTAAGCATGGACGGACGGACACACAGAGATCAAAACATAAGTCCCTGTTTTCGGACTGTGTTTTCTAATCGTTTTGTAGTGTTATAAATTATAGTTATAGCACTATAATTATATCTTAGTAACATACACAGATTTCCACTGAAATCTGTGCATTACCATAAAACATCAATGAAATCTAATAATTGGTTCTTGACATATTGGTAGACCTGGCACACATATACAGATATCCATAAATACCCACAAAGATGAACAAATTTAAAACTGCAATGACTTCCATTTGTGTGCTTTGTACACAACAATCAAATACAAATCTTGTCATATGAAAATTACTGTACTCACCATAGACAAGAATATGTTGAACAAATAAATAAAAGACTTGATGACCATTAATGATAAATTTCTAGATATAAATTTAGTGGATTCTCACCAAAACCTTATCAGGTCTAGCGTTATTTCTAGGCTTTATATATTCAGTTGTATTGAATTAGCTGTTCGTTAAATATATATGAATCTCAAAACTAGGGGAAGGGAAAAAATAATTAGTGGCCAAGCTTTTTTCTTCTTTCTTTCTTCCTCTTCTTCGGTAACTTTTTTCGGCAAGCCGTTTGAGCAAACCGCTGAACAGAATGGTCAGAAAGTGCTCTATATTGATAGCCCCTAATGTGAACTGGTGCACCTGACTTTCAGAATTTTGATTGGCAGAAATTTGATTGGCAGCCATATTGGATTAAAAATAAACCGGAAGTGGCTATTTGACCACTTTGTGAAGGTCTCAGTGATCTAATTTTTTTATGGCATATAGTGATGAAC